CCCCAAAACCCCAAAACCCCAAAACCCCAGTAGTGCCACTGAGTATTGAATTTCTAACTAAAATAAGCTCCTTCTTCCTTGGATGGAAGACTTCTTGGACCCTCTAGCTGTTGATGATTGATGGTTCTTCTTTACCTTGGTTTTCAGTTTCTTCTTTCCATAAGTATTACAAGTCATTGCTTTATTGACCTCACCTATAGAGTAATTCAATGGAGTACTCATCCTGTTGACTAAGTCAATTGCTGAATAGTTTATACTAGAGTTTTTAATCTTTGCCTTCCTTGAAGTATATTTTGAGTACATGTATGTCTGAGGGGTTCTCTCAAACAAAGTCTCGTTTCTTCCTCTATTATCAGTAAACGCTATGTATAAGAACAAGGATATTAACTCAAGTTGTCGTTTTCCTCCTTGAGCCTTGATTTCTTGCCTGTATGACTTCCTGAAAAGCTTCCTCTTTTGACTTTCATTCCTTTAGTAGTCCTCGGGACATTATATTCAGATGGGAGGGGGAAAAAGTCAGTATTATCAATATGGCTCTTCTATATTCGGGATCATTAAAGAAAGAATACCTTATTTCTGGCTAAAATCTTATTTAAAATTGGAATCTGTCAAGGTAAGGCCCTTTTTATTCTTCTTCTTGATTCTCTTATTATAGTGCAGATTCGGATTTTTAACTATTTTTGGAGTTCTTCTTATTAAGTTAGAGTAACCTATAGTTTAGCAAAACATAAGGTACGATCAAGAATCGGGAGTGATCAAACGAGCATAAAGATATGATGGGATTCAGCAGTTTAATTAAATTAGATTATATTATAAGAAGATTTTTATTTCATATATTAACAATATTTTGCTATTAAAAGAATTTAAAAAGTTATAACAGAAAAATTACTTTCTTAAAACTTACCTTGAGAATTCATTGGAGTCATAACCATTGGTTGTAAGATGGTTTCAATGGGCTCTCAAGCCTCAAGCGGCTCCAGATCTTTGTCTTTCTTGGTTATTGTAGTATCTATTTGCATCTCTTCTAAGTCTATTAGATCCTCTATAACTTTACTATGCCAAAATACCTTCTTCATAATTCAAAGGATCATCAATTCATTTTTCAATTGAATTATTAAGCTGGTTCCATTTTTCCATAGAGGATGATATCGATGAAATTAAGGAAGAAACAGTGCTAATAGACTCAAGTATTTTATCCTCATCCTGAGACCTTTCTGTAGAGCTCTTCTTTTTGGCTAGAGGATGTAAAAACCTTCTTAAGATATCTTACCTTTAACACTTTTCTTCGGAAGATAACTACAGACTGAGTAACTCTTCTGACTCATTCTCTCTGCTTTTGGCTTTGAACTATGATTGAAAGAGTATCTTATTGGAGACAAGATACTACTTTTCGAATTCATCTTCTTTTTCTTCCCTTTAGATGGACTTTTACTTCCTATATCGTATGAAAACTGTTCCTACCTCCTATTTTTTTGTTAATCAAGTTTTTATGGTATTTTCTTTTGGCACAGTAGTACATCTTTCTTCCAGGTCTTTTATAGGCATTACTGCCACTCTTTTTGCTATTGGTCGATCCTCTCATTTCCAAAGAATTTACTAAGAAGGTTATTTGGATTAAAGCTTACGAGCTTTCGGGTTCAACTGTCTAATTTCTGGGTTTCAGGCACTTTAGGACGATTTGTACCTGGAATGGCAGAGTCAGTAGTGTTCTTTCTACTAGATTTGCCTTTTGTAGAGGAGGGATTTAAGGATTTCTTTGTAACAGCGGAAGGAGTGAACATGTCTCCTCCCAAGTTGATGCAGACATCAAGGTTCATTATTTTTATTATTTTAGATAAAAGAAAAGGGGTTTTGGGGTTTTGGGGTTTTGGGGTTTTGGGG